TCCTTTTCCACCGCTTTTGCTTTCACTATAGTCCCAGAGTACCCCAAGCTCGGCGGCCATGGCCTCGCCTTCATAATCTCACCTTCAAAGGAGCTTCCTGGGTCTCTTCCAAGCCAGTACCTTGGTATTCTCAATGCCACAGTCGTCGGCAACTTCTCAAACCACATCTTTGTTGTTGAATTTGACACTCTGCAAGACTTTGAATTTGGCGACATCAATGACAACCATGTTGGCATCGATATAAACAGCTTGGCCTCAAACAAATCAACTCCAGCTGGGTATTTCACTAGTCAAAATTCAACAAAACAAAGCCTCAATCTCAAAAGTGGTCACGTAATCTAGGCCTGGGTAGATTACGATTCAGTGAAAAACCAAGTAACTGTTAAGCTTTCCCCTAATTCTATCAAACCCACATCTCCAATTTTAACCTTCGATGTGGATCTCTCTCCAATTTTTCAAGATTTTATGTACGTTGGCTTCTTTGCCTCAACTGGGTTGCTAGCCAGCTCGCACTATGTCTCTGGTTGGAGCTTCAAAATGAATGGAGATGCCAAGTCTCTCTCTTTGGATGCTCTGCCTAAACTCCCTGGGCCCAAAAAAACACACACAGGTGTAATTGTGGGTGTTTCTATTTCTGCAATTCTATCAAACCCAGGAAAAAAAAATTAAACCAAAAGAAGAAAACAAACAAGCAATCAATAGCAATAACCACCTTCTCGTCCTCATCCCCCCAATCCACTAGGGCCATACCCGACCCACTCTCTATTTCTCTCTTTCTCTTCCTCCCTCTCCCCCTCTCTTCGTCATCCCCATCCTCCTCCCTCTATTTCTCTCTTTCTGTGGCTCAGTTCAATTGAATTGGACAAATTAGGTTTTTTAGGTTCGGGTAATTATGGATTTGGAGCAACAACTTATAGGGCTTGTGAGTTATTTGGTTCTGATTGTGAGGTTGATCTTGTTTTGGATGTTTGATCATGTTCTGGTTTCAGGGGGCACTACAGTAAATAAGCCTATATTTTGTGCACAATTTTTTTTTTCTCAAGTTAAAAGCATATTGAAAATGTAACTTGTTTGTACCATATCTGACCTGCCACTCACGTCGTGACACGTGGAAAGAGCAAAACACTAAGGAAGACCTTATGACCCACATTGGCAAACCAAGTGGTATGGATTGATTGGTACCTTCGGTACCCAAGACCGATCCAGTGTCTAGCGTAGCCCTGTGACTCTGCTGGCCAGGTCAGTCCTACAAACGGCAGGTGCTTTTGACTCTGTCCTCTAATTGGTCGTCCAAAACATACGTCCGGCACGCCTTGCCGATTTTGAGCTTTGAAAAGGGGATCTTGCGGGATAACCTCGAACCCCCCGCTTGGATATTTGCTGGGACCCGTGTCGACTTTAGAAGGCACTCCCACGAGTCCCACATCAAAACTAAGTACCAAGAGAATACCCAGAGCTCTCTATAAATAGGGCATCTTGCCCTAGACATAGGGTAAGACTTTCGACTTGACTCATATGCTCTTGCATTGTCAATAGCTTGCTCTTAGAAACTAACTTTAGCATCGGAGGGTCTTCGGCTGGTACCACACCGGTGCCCTAGACCTCATCTGATGTTTCTCTCCTTGGCCTAGATCCATCATCGCATCCTAAGGAAGAACATGCTCATACCGAAGGCTCAACCTATCCCTAGACCGTCCACGTCACCTGTAAGTTACTCCTATATCTATCTGTTTAGTTTTAGCGCAAACATAACTGAAGGTGTTCAACATATTAACAACACATGTCATTCTCATAAATTCATCACATGGCATTTTAAAAGGTGTTGATACAAATTGCAAAGTTGAAAAAACATATTTAAAAATGATGATATGAATGATATGCAAAGTTGAAAAAACCATATTTAAAACATAGACAGATTTTATAGATAAAAACTTTGAAAACTCATTTTCATACCATGAACACTCTCGAAAATTAGGGCAAAAAGCAATGTAATAAGAGTGTTATCTACCAAGAGCGAACACCAATGGTTTTGCTCCAATTTTAGTACATTTAGAAGAATAACACATAACATTAGGGGGTCGTTTGGTACGGCAGACTAGACTAAATCTTGAGACTATCTTGGATGAACTCGGATTGGCCTAAGCTGGATTAAGTACTAACCTACGTTTGATGTTGTGTTGGACGAAGAAGTTGGATTGTAAAAATAGTGAAGATCTATGTTTGGTACTGTTTGGAACAAAAAAATAATTCTTGTAATATTTAAATTTAATTAGAGATTTTGACCTAAAAAATATTTAAATTCAATTGGGGATATTTAATTAGGGCCGATGTGTGAAAATAAAAATAAAAAAATCTTTAAAAATATTTAAAATATTTAAAAAAAATTTGCCCAATTCTCTCTCTCTCTCTCTCTCTCATCGCCGACCTTGAACCAACCCCCAAAAATATACTGTCAACCCACCACACACATAGACCCGCCCCGACCTGGACTTAACCCCCATAGATCCGCCCCTCCCCAACCCATTATCTCTCTACTGCCTGAGGAACCTGGGCTCAGTCGGTCCCGGCCAATTCGATCAGCCTCGATGTCGTTGTTCAAAGCCTCCATCAGCATCCACCTCATCGCAG